TTAAATGAAGTTGGTTTCAAAGTAGCAATATTAATTTTGGGGAAAATGTCAGGTAGTTGTCCATTTTTATCCAAATAGGGAAAATTCATTCCCACAAGAACATAATAGCCACAGAATTCTACACAAATAAAGAGACTTTTTTTGGTTTTGTTTTTGCTGTTGCCAGGTAGGAGCTCTTCTGTTTTGTTCAGGGCTAGATAAAATTTATCTGTGTAATTTTAATTTTGTTCTATTTTCCTTGGCAGATAGCTTGTTCATCTTACCACATTCATGCATTGGCAAGATTAGCTGTTTAATAGAAAATTCTTTTTTTTTTTTTTTGTACCGGGAATTGAACTTAGGACCTTGTGCTTGCTGGTCAGGTGCTGTGCTGAGTCACATCCCCGGCCCACAAAATTCTTAAGAAGAAATTTTAAAATCTATATTTATCTGAATCTTCAAGACAAGCTTCACAGTATGTGTTTGGCACAATTGTTAACTACATATTGTCCCATAAATTAGTAAGATTTTTCCAACTTGGATAACAATAAGTATCTTATAAGTCTGTGTTCACTTTGGAAGTTCTTATTCATGATATTAAAAGGGAACATTTTATATCAAAGTTATCCAAAAACTTTACACACATGGAGTTTACAGTTTGGAAATTAATAAGCGTGAGATAGATTACTATTGAAACATCACCCAAACATGAAAGTAACTTTCACAAGATTAAAGCACAGACAAGAAAATTCAAAAATTTTAGTTGTATATGATGAGACTATTATGTTAATGAAAAGCAATGAATACGTGAGTGAGTGAACAAATTAGAGCTCTGTCTAAAGAAACACCGAAATAGCTGAATGTTAATCTTTTCCATTAGCTAAAACATCATAATGACAAGCTCTTCTGGGAATCAGGGAATCAAGGGTATCTCTCGCCCTTCTGTGCCCTGTTATACTGCTCTAAAGAACATCCTGGCTGCCATTTTCACCCAGAAGGCACCAGGGGAAAGATTTCTCAGCTGCTCATGCGCAGACTTTTGAAGCTAGAAGTCTCCTATGCGATCCTGGCTGTTTTCTCCTGTTTCTTGTATATTAGAGGAATAGGATGTCAAGTATATATTCCCTGCCCTGGTCTCCCACCAGATTCTACCCTCGGCTTATGCCCTTTTGGGTGCCATCTGCTTGGGGCCGTAGAGGATTAGCGTAAGAGAACCTACTTCCTGAGGGCCTGCTGGGGGCTTAGTATTTACATGTCCAGTTTCAAATTTTCGCAAAATTCTGTAAGGATGTTACCAGACCCATGTTTATAGATTTGGAAAATAAAGCTCAGAGAAATTAAACCTCCCTCGGGTTATCTGATGAAATTTTTATATTTGGGCCTCTCTGAACCATCAGTGGAAGATCCTTGTTTTCCCTTGGAGAAATGAGTTAGCCTTGCCTTTGATTGACTCCACACTTTCCACTGGAGGCCTCCCTGGAGAGCTGCTCTCCTACTCTCCTCTAGGCTGCTGTCCTGAATTTCCCACAGTGAGTTGGCCTCTACAGTGATTTTTCTGGCTTCTTCTCTGTTAGCATCAACTGATATCTTAAAATATCTGATTAGTACTTAATAGTGTTGGCAGGTTAGAATCATATTTTTAAAAGGAAAGTATATTTTAATACAACTTTCTGAATCCACTCTTTGAGAGAAGATATTTTTTCCCATGTTAAACAGACAAACTGGACAAAAAAAATGACCACCTGTTAGCTGCTAATGATGTTCACATGCCTTTCAAAAAAGTAATTCTGGCTTTATCTGACTGCAATCTTGGCGGTAGAACTTGTGGGAACATCAAGGGTACAGGAAGCCAAAGGCATCTAACTGACAGTAAAGTTTGTGCTTTGACTATTAATAAGGAAGAAGGTACTGTGAGTCTCTGATGCCACATAATTACTTAATTTGCAGAGGGTCACATAAAACTGAATTCATGTTTTAAGAAATCTAAGTTTGGGTGTTCAAATCAAGACCATGACCAAGACCAAAAGAGTTTTACACCAGATATTTTCTACTGGAAAAAAAATTTAAAAAGCATTCAGTGTAGAAATAAAGGCTTTAAATATTTTAAAGATGTAGTCTAATTTGATATTGGATGAGTGAGTCAATCATATATTTCCAATGAAAATGAATACATACATGAATATATACATATTGATTGAACTTAAAGTGAAAAAATATTAACTGTGACCCAGTTTGCAAAAATTATACTAGTACTAAAAATGGTGTACAATTATGTATATCCATAATTGAAGATATGGAAAAGAAGTATTTTATAAAATCTAGGGTAGCATTAAAGATTAAATAACCCTTTTACCTTTGGATTTAATCAATTTCCAAAGAGACCATCTGGTCTTAATTCTTTTGCTGACAACAGTTTTGGGGTCTCAATATATGTTTATTTTCTGTGGATCTTATTTAAAATTGTTTGGGTTTGAAGCTTCTCTTCATGACTTAGTTTTGGTCATGTTACCGTAATTCTCTTTGTCTTAGTCTCCTGATGTATAGAAGAGCGTTAATAGTAGAACTCACCTCACAAGGTCATTAGGAGTTTTAAGTGAGTCAATATAACACAAGCATTTAGAACAACATTGGCTATGTAGTAAGTTCACAATATTTTCTAGTTATCACTAATTTTTTTTAACTTCAAAGTAAAAGATGAATACGAAGTCATCATACATTTAAGTACTTTTTGAAAGCATAAAAAATGTGCCTCTTTTTGTCTTTAAACTAGATTGAATTTAAACTCAAAGTGAATAAATGTCTTCCTCAATGAAACAGTAAATTCTACAGGGAAATCATGGCTATTCTACCTACATAATTTTCCCAGTAGCACCCTAAATTTTTTAAAGTAACTATTATTCAATATAGAATCCATTAGCCTGAATGTTTCTTAAAAACAGTCTTGTAAACCTTTATTTGCTCCGTAGTTTTAGGCTTTAGGAACATGTCAAGTTCTCCTCCAAACCAGAAATTTAATCTGAGATTCTAGATCCATTAATCACTGAATCAGATATTCTTTTATATTTACTACAAAATATCTACAGAATTAACATTAAATACAACAACTGAATTCTAATTGTGAAATCTTACGTCTGATTAGCCGTATAAAGGAAAAGAGGGACAATTATCAGGAGTTAAGTATTCTTTAAATTAACAATCCCCTATCTTTTTGGCCCTAGGGATCAGTTTCAGGAAGGACAAATTCTCCGTGGACCAGGGTGGGAGTGTGAATGGTTTGGGGATTGGAGTCTCATAAGAAGCACGTGTCCTAGATCCCACGCATGCGTAGTTTATCATAGGCTTCGCATTTCTACCAGAATCTGATGCCTCCCCTGATCCAACAGGAGGCACGCAGGAAGAATGTGGGGAATAGGGAGTGATTGTAAACAGACACACAGATGAAATTTAGTCTGCTAATCCGCTGATCGCCTCCTGCTGCTTGACCCTGTTACTAACAGGCCAACCTGCCCATTCCCTGGGGTTGAGGACGCCTACTTTGAATGACAGAACTCTAAACTGTATCATCCTATGGAAAAACTCCTTTCAAATAGCATTGTTAACTCTCCACAGATGTATTCATTTCCAACACTGACACTGATAATCTTAAACGACAATATAACACAATTTGCTAAACGAATATGGATCTGGCAGTTGAAAAGTACAGCACGGTCAGTTGACAATGACTTAACTTCAGAAGGTCCTGCTACTCTCAGTCCTCATGTAACTTCTAGATTTGTGGCACTCAGCAATTCAGCTTTGAAAGATATGCTACCATTGAGATACAGCTTCCTTTTTCCTTTTTTTTTTTTTTTTTTCCTTTTCTTGGTATTTTTGAGACAGGGTCCCACTACGTAGTTCAGGCTGACCTTGAGCTTACTTCGTAGCCCAGGCTGGTCTCAAACTTGCAATGATCCTCCTGCCTCAGCCTCCCGAGTGCTGGGATTATAGGTGTGCACCACCACTCCTGACTACAGCTTCCTTTTTTCTTGAAATATATGTATTTATAAGGATTTATTTGTGTGCATGTGTACATATGTATCTTTCCCAGTGAGTTAATTTGTGTATATAAACATAGTAGCATCTAGAGTACATATGTATCTACGTGTACATGTATTTATATTCCATTAGAGGTCGTTCTCAACTTACTGAGTTGTCCTCAAATTCAAGAAGCTATTATACTTTGAATTTACTGATTTATGTAACTGTATTGGTCTTTGGGCAGAGAGAAATTATTTTAAAAATGGTGATTTAGAAGATTAGGGACAGTTAGGTAAAAGACAACAAAGATATGAGTTTTAAGACTTTGAAAAATTGGTTTTCTCTGACTTCAAAGATATTGACTTGTTCTTTCAGAGGGTGAGCCTCAAATCAACTCTGAGATAGAGGTGACATGCATTAATAACTCCCTTTTGTTGAAGGAGAAGCAGACTGATTAAAAATCCTGAGAATCACTGTGTAAATTCTTATTGCTCAGGACTTTTAGAACAGTAGAACTAGATATCCTTGGAAAACTTCTGATTCATACTTCTATTTCTTCCATGGGCATGCACGTTTCTCCCTCTTCCTGGTGGTCCGAAGTGTGAAAAGTTGACTTAGTTTGGACCAACTGTGGTGGTCATTCATATTTTTTAATATATGGAAATCAAATAGTCAGCGTACCAAGCTTTGGAGATGCTTGACATTTCCCACTTCCAAAATCAATCACCTATCTGAACTCCATGGCTCTTAGTCAGAGATTCAGAGGCTTTCTGTAAGCAGAGACCATGACCTGGGAACAATTATTTTCTCAAAAGGCATTACCGACAATGATGTGAGCAAAGCGCCCAGGCTGCCCTCCAGTGTATGAATCCAGGGCCAGGAAGTGGCTAGGAATCTTCCACGAGGAGTGTATGTTTGGCTCAAATCTCATTTCAGTGCATTTATATTGCATAAGCACAGCATTTAGACAAAGTTCAAATGAGCAAATCAAAGAAAATACTCACTTAAAGATTTTCTGTGCTCAGGTTTCTGTTCTTTAATCTCACTCTCATAATGACTTAACAGTTCCGTACTAGAGGATCTCTGGATTTTGAATAATTCTAACTTTCTTGATGGACAACTTGGATCCTTTGGCTGGAAGAACAAACAGTCAGACTTAGTAAATTTACTAGGAAGAAAGGATTCACCAAATAGTGTTGTTGTATATGGTGTTACACATACGGGGATGTTTGAAACATGTGAATTATTTTGGGATAGCCCTCTATGATAGGTTGAACACTCAAATTTAATAATAGTTCGTATAGGCACATGGAGCTTACTAAATGCTGTGAATTATTTGAAGCACTCTGCATACATTAATGCAATTAATCATCACAGGAATCCTATGAGGTAGGCGGCAACATTATTACTGAGAAAGACACTGAGGCCAAAAGAGAAAAGTACATTGCCCAAGGCCACACAGCCAATAAATGATGACACCAATATTCAGGCACTCCTGGTCCCAGATTCCATTCTAGAGACAATAATTTGTTGTCTATATATGGGGACTTTATGGACAATGGGGAAAATTTAAGTTTTTTAAGTTTTCATCCGAAAATTATGTAATGAAAGACATCAACTATTAGTGAAATCATACAGAAAATATTTTATTTTCCGTACTGTATACTAGGTTAGAAATTTTCAAGAACAATTTTTCCTCAAGATTTTGCAAGTATTAATGAGTTAAAATTAGTCACTGTAGAATGAGAAGTTTTAAGTAATTTGGCTTTTGTAAAAACTTATTATGTATCAGGCTTAATAGAATTTCATGAAATTCTAGATAGGTGATTTTCATGAGAATAATCTAGCTTATCCAGGAAAGCAATGCAAATCAGTAGAAAAGATTATATTTACTGGCATTGTAGCAGTGAGTATGGTTTTAAACATATTGATATTTATTTTTGAGAATATGTATTAGAGACTGCATAAACTGAAAATGGAAATAGTAGTTATTAAGCTCTTATGTGCTTTTAAAACTTCCAATAAATGGATGTTCATGTTATTTCTGAAAAAAAAAAGCATGCTGTTTTTGAAAGAGAATTAAATGACATTTAGTTCCCCAAAACCTGTCTCCTGAAAATGTTCCTAGAAGAGTCTACATGTTTAAGCTTGAAAGAATTTAGTATCTCTTAGTATAGGATCTATTTAAGTATGTGTGTTATATGCCTGAATGGTAAGATTTAAATTACTACATTTTAATTAATAAAAGCAAAAGCCAGAACAAATACATACCAATCTGTCAATTGTATTTTTGATAGCTTGGAACCAATCCAATATGATGAAGTCAATATCTGACTGTAGAAGAAATTCATTTCCGGATACTGTTGTGATCTGGAAAAAAATCGACAGGTAAGAAAATCATGAGATATTTCTCTTAGATTTAGAAAGAAAAATCTTCCTCAAAAAAACACACTTTAAGACATTGAAATATTTTCTTCTAGTCCAGTAATTTTCCTTCTGGGAACTGGGTGGCTGGGATCATTCTGAACTGATCTCTATAAACTTTTCTCATGTTGTAACAAATACATTAGTATTTTAATAATAGGACAAATAACTTCAAATAGGGCTAACGCTGAATCACTCTGACTTCAAGAGAAATAGGGCAGGAAGTTCAGAGTGATGAGGACAGTGCACCCGTAAGTTGGAAGCCGCAGAAAAATGCACTTGGTGTGTCAGAATTCATTCTGTACTTTTGTCTCTTTCCTGTTTGTCTTTTTCAAATCTAATAATATCTCTATATTTGATTTCTTTTTATGGAGAGCTTTAAAACAGATTATTACCAGAGAGACTAATGGAGACTTTTCTAAAAGGTCTTCAACTTCCCACTTAACTTGTTTGTTTTCAGAAAAACTCTTTAGAGATAGATACACAATTTTTCAATATCTCAAAACAAGCATTCTTGAGTGACACGAGTTCTGATATTGTTTGTTCCATACTGCAGTAAGACAGTAGCTGTCCAAAATGTATGCAATATTAACAACTAAAATGTGGAAAATAATAGAATCTAATTACCTACACTAAACTTTGAGAAATCACTGGGACCAATTCTCTCTCTCTCTCTCTCTCTCTGTCTCTGAAACTGCAGTAAGGTTTGGAAAGCCTGAATAGCTCAAAATAGTCCTCCATTTTTTCCCCAGCACAAAACAGCTAAGCTGAAGTTTGCCTAATTATCTAAACACCATTGTACCTTGGGTTACTTGCACTAGGTCCCATATATCTACTTTATGAAGTGCTGCTGCAGAAATAACAATGTAAACATATAAGCTCACTTGTAACTAACACAAGAAAACTAGTAATGTCTTTGACCTCTACTTTTGTCCTGTTTAAATATTTTCATTATAATGTATTATACATCATAATTTGTTATTACATACAGAAAGAAATGAATTAATCTAAGCAAAATGTATAATCTAATATTTCTCTGCCAATATAAATAAACCTTTATTAAAAATATAAAAAGGAATGGCATCTTAAAAGTACAGAAAAACAAACATAATTAGATTTACTATATTCTAAGGATTGCAGAAAGAGGAGACACAGTTCAGTCTTTGGACTCCTGGATTCAAACAGCTCTCAAATGTAAGTGCTTCAGCAGTGCATTTGCATTTTTGGAGCCTGCTGTGCAGTGCAAAGGGGATCTTTCCCTGCTAACACAACCGAAAGCAAATGTATTTTAAAAGTTTCTTTGTCCGAATATATTACTGCATTAATCATGCACAATCAGTGATTTACAAATTCATTTTGGGACGCTAGATGAGGGAACTATATGAATGTAACTCATTCAAATCATACTATCAGAGACATTCAGTTCACATCCTTTCCTCTGTCTTCCCACCAGTCTTCCGAGCAACTAGGCAGTCTGGAGAAGTCTGCTACTGCTCTCTACAGTTTAAATGCATCCACTTCTTAATTACAGTCAGTAATTGACTTTGTTCTGCTCCATTCCAGACATTCATACTTTCAAACTCTTTGGCTGTTAAACTCCACTTAATTTAGATTTCTCTCTCCACTGTTTTACATTACTTCTTGAGGATTTCTGATAGTTTGCTGAATCATACTTGTACTTTGAACAATGAAATCTTCAACACTCTTGGGGGGGAAAAAAGCGTCAGTAAAGAGTGTTAGCTTTGACTGAAACTTTTTCCTGAACAACACATGCTGCCAATCTAAAGTGATGTGAACCAAGGCATAAAGGATTGCTTTCAAGGCAGATTCATGTAGTTTCTCTATATCATGCCTTTTCTATGTGACAGGTGCTGGACATGAGCCAATGAAGGACGGACTTACAAAAAATGTGATGAGTTTAGTTAAGAGCCACTGGCCTCCATCTTGGTTAGAAACCTATTTTAGACAAGTGTTTAAATGAAACCTCTTATCTCCACCACACTGTATTTTGAAGGAATATAATAGAGCGGCAAAGTAGTCTTAATGAAATATTCTAGTGTTATCAATAATAAATACGTGTAAGTACATGTCTGAGGAAATTTGCCCTAACTTAAACTTCTTCACACTAAGTAAGCATTGTTTCAGGTATTTTTGGGCAGCAGATGCATGCTTAAGAAATGATACAAGCATGTCCACTGAGCTATGGGCAGAGTAAAAGCATTTCTTTAGGCTTCTTATGGTATGAGTTCAATAATAGCTTTCCCTTAACCTTAGAATCTTGGTGTGTGTCCTTACAGGTCCTTGAAGGTGGAGGAAGGAAGATGGAAGCTCCAGACACCATGCATAAGAGATGTAAAGGGAAAAGAGTTGCTTTTTTAGGATTTTAATTAAATTGAGTATTATTACACCAAGGGAAATATCATATAAGTGGTATAAGGAGTAGCGTTTATACGTATAAGTACTTTTCAGTAAGTCTGTCTTAATCTTGAACTGAGTGTCACCCTTGCCAATATTCACTGTAGCAGTGGGATTTTATGGTATTAGGTTTTGACTTAAATGAAATGTTACTGTGAAGAATACAGTCTATGCTATTAAAACTCTTCGTATTTTCATTTTTCGCAATAGAAGAAAACTATGTAGAATCTCACTTTTTTCTGATTAGAAAAATAGTTGTGATTTTTGTGGATAACGGGAAAAGAAACAATGGATCAGGTTAAAATCTTTCAGACCTACGCAGAATAAACATTGCCCACATTTAATCTTAGTCATTGCCAGCCTTTTGTATATAATAACTGAATGAATATGGTAATTACAACAGATATATTTGTGCTATTGATAGATGCTTTATCAGGAAAATGTATCTGATGGTTAAATATTATCTTTTTCCCTTCTAGTGACTTCCAGTACACGTGGAGAGATTACCAAAAATGCAAAAGATGATGAGTGCCATGGGCTCCTCTTTCTTTGGTGCATCACCCTTCAAACTGAAGACTAAATCCTATGTGTAATTCCATGTTTGAGGGACTGAGAGGACATGTTCACAATAGAACGTTCCCCGAACTATCAACAACAGATTAAGCATCCATAAAGGATGAGGCACACTGTTAGAAGCTAGGCAGACATAAACCCCACCCGCAAGAGCTCACAATCTGTTTGGATAAGTAGGACATATGCACATAAAGATAAATAACAACAGAAAATAGCTTTTACTAAGTCTCAATGTGAGTGGCATAGACAATGCTCATGTCAAGATTTCATAGGAAGGAATAATTACTGCAGTCACATTTACATCATGGAATTATGTGTAAACTGTTGTTCATGATATGTTATTCTTTAAATGTTGATTGTATCAGAACTTTAGTATATTAAGGATATGGATACTACCACTTGGTATGCAAAGTGCTATCAGCTTTAATGATCTCAAAGCACATAATAAACATTTTCCAAATGTGGCTTCCCTCCACTATCATAAAGTAATTTGCAAATGAAGAAAATGAAGCAAATGAGAAAAGTGAGAATGGCATCCTATCAAATTGGTATCATTTAGAATAAGAGAATTAAAAGATTACAAAGATCTCAATGTCTAGTTCACTAGTCCTCAGCAAACAGTCCTATACTGTTAAGACTCTATGTGTGTATATGGCCAAAGGGCAATAATGATTTGGTTTGAGTTGTGAAATATGGAATAGTGACTTTATATAAAATTGTTTTCAAATTGTTATGCTACAGATAGAACAGTTTAAAAAAACATATACCACCCCGATTGCTCTTCTTCTGCCTCTTCCATTCCTCCCTCCCCCTTTCTCTTTCTTCCCTTTCCTTTCTTTTCTCTTCATTCCCAATACACCTAATCTCCTACAATGAAAAAGCACATTTAAAGCAGAGCTGAAATATAATAACTTCTAATCCTAGAAAGGCCTAAAACAGTCCTACATTTAAACCAATATCTTTCACATTTTCCTTAAAATCAGTCCTTTACTAAGACCCTAAGGAAAAGTTATTCCTTCTTTTTTTTTGTTGTTTTTTGTTTTTGTCCGGTACCAGGAACCGAACTCACGACCTTGCGCTTGCCAGGCAGGCGCTTTTGCCGCTGAGCTAAATCCCCAGCCCCTAAGTTATTCCTTCTTAATAAATTTGAAACTAAGTAGAAAATATGTAATTAATACATCAAACATTCAGAGAACCCTAAAACATATTGAATAATATAGCTTCAGTGGTTCTAGAGATAAATAAAAAAGAGGAATATAATTTAATTAACATTATATTTAGAGATTATTTGGACTTCATGATGAAATCAATATATATGAATTAGTTTGAATAAAAGTAAAAAGTTATGTTATGTGTTCTAAATTTACTTGAAGAACATATAGATTATCTTTGTGATATTAATTTTAGTTATGTATTTATTTAATATATAGTGCAATATTTATGTATATATAAAGACTATATTACAATAAAATATCAAGATATAAAATCAAAGCAACAATGTCTTAAAAAGCAGATTCACATTATTTTCATCTTGCAATAACACTCCACATTTAATAGCATTAATCGTTAATCAAATGAAGGTTGTCATGATTACGCTAAAAGTTAAATTACTTGGTCCCACAGGTTTTTATGACCACCAAAGGAATTATACTATCAGGCTGCATGTCTGTCTCAAATTACAGTCTGCTTGAGTAACTCTTAACATTTTTGAAAAAAACATGTCAGAGCAAAGTTAACATAAAACTGAGGGTAAAATATCAGCTTGAAGTAAAAGGTCTTCATTTGTCTTTCCAAAAAATGTTTCTTGTTAAAGCATTTGTGAGAAAGTATCTGCCTTGTGTTCCCAATGTTGCTAGATGTTAAGTAAATATATGCTGATTATAAAAAAAGTTGCTTTGGCAACTTTCTTATTAAAATGCATTTGTAACCCCGAATCTGTCATGAAAGTTTTGAAAAGTTTGTTTACTTTGGATAGCAGCCTTATCCAGGGTTACCCTAGCAAACAATGATAGCAGTCTTCAGAAGTTGTGTGAGGAACAAGCCACTCGGGATCCATTTTTGTTTTAATTGGCACACACAAACACTTTTCTGGTCTGTCAAGAAGATCAAGCTAATATGCATGGAGGGTGTTATATTCTCAGCTTTGGGGAGCAGTAAAGCTCCCTTTATTTAAGTAATTTAAATGATAGACTGCAAAAACTTTGCAAGTCAGAAAAATGCTTTATACTTTCTCAGGGAATATTTGTTTTAAGCAATGGAAAATGTTCTACATATCTAAAGATGTTTAACCTTATGTTATAATTACTCTGTTTCTTCTGACTCTGTGAAATGTTCCTAAATCCACATGCTACTAAATAAGCCAGGCCACCAATGGATCCTGCATTTCCACAACTCCCCCTGTGTTAACAAATACGTGTTCATTAGCTTCCAGATGTTTATTGGATATGTTTCCAATGCATTTGGCTTGATTGATTTGCATGTACATTTATTGGAAACCTCAGCGGTGTCATCATATCAACAGATCCTGCACATGTAAGCAATTTCTTACTTAATGGAAAGTAAACAAATGTTGAGCTACATACACAACAGATCTCTAGAGTATTCTGAAATATAAGGTTTAAGGTCAGCTTTTCAAGAAACAATGCTTTTTAATTGAAATTGAGCTGTACATTTGACACCTAAATAATTTTGTCCATACTTTCATCCATCAGAGATTCGTTTGGCACAATAAAATTGACCCTGTAGTAAACACTCACACCTCATGCCACTTGCTCATTCCACTTTTCCTGTTTGTTCACAGAAGATCTAAACCCCAAATTCATTTCAAAGAAACAAGCAAACAAAATCTCATGTTCATTCTTCTACCTGTGTTAAAATATCTTAAGTGCCGAGTAACAGTTTTCTCCACATTCATAGAAGAATAGTATCAAAGTAAGTAGTAGATAGTTCAGCAGTTTCCAGTTTTGTACTCAGCTTCGTTCACACTTTTGCCTGTGTTCTTCGTATGAAAAATGATTTAAAAAGAGTAACTAAACAAAGCAGTTGGTATATAAAGAAAGAGCTTCAAGTTTTATGGTTCTTAATATCATGATTAAAGTTGGAAGTAGTAGCCTGAAGGTAAAGAAATTATCCTGGGATTTGCATCCACTGGTTCTCACCAGTCAGCCACCCTTCCTAACCATAGATCTGCTTCTTTATTCATTGTGCTCAAGTACTCATCTAGGTGCCTGACATTTGGGCATCTGCTTCCCTCATCATCTTCAAATTAGAGTTATTTTATTATCATTGTTATTTAAATCGGCTCAACTTGATTTTTTAAAAATTAAAAAGTATAACATAAGCAAAAAAAACCTCCCTTTCTCTAGGACATACTAAAGCCCTGTCTCTCTTTTTAGACCAATGTATAAACATTATGTATGTGTTTATACTTTAATGAAAATATCATATATACTGTCATGTAAATTTTTACATATTTATCTATTTAATCTACAAGCATCTCCAATGTGGATTTAGTCATAAAATCTTTTGCATTCTCTACCTTCTCATGTATATTCTCCCTTCTAGTCAATATTGTATATTCCAGCCAAAATGATCTCTTTGAAATTTGGATGTGATCATCCCTTTCCTTTGCTTGATAGGGTTTCCCCAGCTGTTGTCATATACGCAGACTTTGCAGTTGGGCCACCATGCCCTGTGTGTTCTGGCTCCTACCTGCTCTCTGCAGTCCTGTGCCAGCCTTCACTCTGCATCTTTATGATTCAGACACACAGAAATCTTTGTGCCCCAGCTGTCCTATACTAATTTCCATTTCTTTCCTTATAATAGATTTTTCCCACTGTCCAGAATCCTCTGACTTCATGTATCACATCATTAAATCCATTTAGATGTCACCTTCTCAGTGAAGGCTTCTCTGAAATAGATCTCCCCCTCAAGTGTTTTCATGATATTCGGCTTCTCCTTCGTCACAGTACAAATTGATCAACACTGCAACTCCCTAATGATTTTTCCATCCCCCTACTATGTTATAATCAGCCTGAGTCATTGGCAACTGTCTACGTGTATAGCTGAATGACCCACACCGAGGGACACTAAGAAAATAAAAACATAAGTGTTTTCCTTATTCATTTCAGCAAATATATATTATTTCATTGTTTGGATAGTATATTTAACTCATCTTACATTGCAACATAATTTTAATGCTTGTAATATAATTTCATTCTTTCTGGTAATGTAGGCAATGCAATTTTGACATCAGTTGATAAAACTTTATACAGTATTGTAGGAAAGGTCTCCTGCAGATTGAGAACAACAGTCTGAAGACTCTTTATTCAGGAGCCAGGAAGTTCTAGTATTCAGCAATAGAATAATAACTTGGAGAACCAGAAACATCAGGAATTGTCTACTTCATTGAATATTCCTATGATAGAATGTTCTTGATTTTTTTCCCATGCCACACATGTGTTAGGTAGAGCTGATCTATTCTAGATCATCCAGTCATCTCATTGTATGTCTGAAGTATTTTGGTTTGGAACTGATGGTATGGGAAACTGGACACAAATTCAAGAATGTGAGAGTTAATGTTCAATTAAGAGGTCAACTCTTAGAGATCCTCAATAATGCAGAGATATTCATTACTGATCCCTCAATACTGGAGCCATTAATTTCACTAAAGCACTGTTAATAATAATAAACAAGCAGACCATGGTGGGAGGTGGCAGTAGTTATGTTACTAAAAATTTTATTTAGAAGTTTATTAGAAGCTAATTTTAAGATATAGTGATTTCAGCAAAGGCTAGTACTCTAGCCACAACCATAGGGCTCACACAAGTCACCTATTAGTAAGTGCTGAGATTGCAGAGTATGAATAAAAGACGTTGCAGTATGTAAGTATATTTATGCTATTGTAACATATTTGGCAATGAGTTTGAGTGTTTATAAAACATTCAAGAATTGTTCCATGTCTACTTACATTAATGAGAACACCTGTTAGCTTTAGTGCAGTACAGACTTATTTGCATCAGTTTCAGGTTTTTGCATACTGTACATCACTTTCTGAAACAGTTAGATGCTTATAGAGAAATATAGCAAAGGGAAAAAAACAGCAGCTTGAATGCTTTCCGGCTCAAGACAATTCAACTCCAGGTTTCAGTGAAAAACAAAAATCTGCTAAATTACAATACTGCCACTTAGAAGGAAATGTAGGTGTATTTTATATTTTTAAAGAACAAAAAATACATATAAAAGTCTGTGCTTTCATCTTCAAGTAAAATTACAGCCAGCCAAGACAGTTTGCAAAGGAGGCTAACAAGGAAGGAACAGCTGCACCATCAGAAGCTTGCTTCTCAGTGATCTCAGGACCATCTACCAAAGCTGGGTCCTCCGCCAGTGTCAGAAAGCTGGATGACTCCAACAGGTTTTCAGCTGAATATGGAAAGGTGCATATGCCGGCCCACCTCATGTTCCCTGCAACCCTTTGTCCTGGAGCCTAAAAGCACTGAAGGGAGAGAAACTGCTGAGTCAGTCCCTCCCAGGCTACTGGTCACTGTGTAGCCAGAACACACCAGCTCACAAACTGTCCTGTGCCACCCTGAAAGACTCTGGTGAGTGTATTGCATTCATTATTCTCATAAAATAGTCACAACTTCCAAAGGTCCCTCTCTACTGACACATCTGTCTGCCACTCCCCATAGGATGTTACAGCTTCTGCGATTTAAATATTTTCAGTTATTGAAAAGAGCTCTTGCATAAATCTCTGGATTCACAGCCTCTATTATCACCATTATATTTAAGAGGTGTAATATTTACATCAAAGTGAATCAGTTCGTGATATACTCTAAAGATAAATGTGTATTTATGATCTGAAGAAGTGTGACTCATAACTATTTTCTCAGACAAACAGAATACCTCTGTGCTGTGCTAGTAAACACAGATAAGGCAAGGCACACTTGAGCTGTTTCCATAGGGTTGGTGTCACCTTTTCTTGGGAAATAAGGGCACTGAGGATGGCTTTTGCTCGGTGTGTGTGCCATGGAAGACAAT